AGCACACGATACTGTCGTAGTCTAAATATAGAATAAAGGAAAAATGAGTTCCAATTAATACTAATATAAAGCCCATATAATAATAATAAAATTAAAATGAATTATATTAGACTATATGATATATGGAATAAAAATGCATGCAATCACAGACAATGGCAGGGATGGCATGCCAAAATGTACTCAAATTTTGGGAGGTTGAAATATGCCGTGGATTACAAAGGGCATTTTACTATATTTGATGCACCTAGTAGTCCAAATACGTCAATATTAGTGAGATTCTAAAAGCACATTTACATACATGCAAACATTCAGTTGTATTATAAGTACTTGCAGAAAGGGATAAAAAATTACCTCGTAATCTTTTTCTTCCGAACGAAAAGATGATTCAAGAAGAGAGGCTTGGTGTGACATGGATACCTTTAATCCTGAAGATCGCGGAGGACCATTAACCCTTTCAAGAGCCTCATTCCCAGCCTGGTTTCCAAGCGTAGTGACATCGAGGAAGCCAGAGGAAAACGAATCGTTGCCAATACCGGCGGCACTGAGATAGGATACACCGCTATATGGAGAAATGACTTGTGCACTAGACACAGGAGATATGGGATTCCAAGAAAGCCGAGAGGAAACAGATGCGTTCGCAACGACAAGACGACTCAAAGACTGAAATCCCGAGAAAAAAAGCATGTAGTAAAAAATAGCAAAAAATCTAAGGAATGAAGAAGTTGGGGGAAAATCGGGCTTCAGCAAAAAGATTTTGGTAAAAATTCTAAAAGATAATACAAATGTAGAGAATGCAAGGAATTATTGACAAGCAATCCATTTAATGCAGTGGTCTATTTTAAGGAATATAAATCAAGCAATTAAATTAAACTAGGGTTTATAGAAATAATGGAGCTGGAAAAACGGGAATAAAATAAAAAAGGTAGTGTCAGCACGATATAATTTAATGAAAGCCCAAATGGCTAGTAGGAGATTGAAGTAAAATGATAGATTCGATATATCGCACATTTTAGTTAACTTACTTTCATTATCTCTGCATGACCTGGCCAAGAATCAGTAACGACAACGTGAGTTAACTTCGGGTCATCTAAGTCGTCTACTATTTCACCGTCATGTTCAGTAGCAAGACTTATGAGTTCCCGCAGCTCATCACTACATGGAGCAAATCCAATAAATGCAATACGGCAATTTTGGAACACCCGAGCTCGATGTAAAGACTGAAAATGAGTTCAAATCAAGATAACTTACCACAAAGTGAGGGTCCAAAGCATTCAAAGTTGGTGTCTCTAACCTAGAATTCCAAGAAGCTTCAACCCAGGTAGATTTCATCATAGATATACGGTGAGTGGCCAAAGCCGCATCACTAGCCTTTTGTCCACTGCACCTGTAAGCAACAAGATGTGTAACTGATGCATGCATGCAGCGCCGT